CCTTCAGTGATGCTGCAATAGTGTGGCCACAAGCAACTCAAGAAATTCTATCGTAATGTAATATAAGAATTAACTTATATTACATTCTAAGTGAAGTAAGCCAGAAAGAGAAAGAAAAATACCATATGAGATCACTCATGTGTGGAATCTAAACAAACAAACAAACAAAGCATAAATACAAAACAGAAATAGACTCAAAGACATAGAATACAAACTTGTGGTTGCCAAGGCGGTAGGGGGTGGGAAGAGATAGACTGGGATTTCAAAACTGCAGAATAGATAAACAAGATTATACTGTATAGCACAGGGAAATATATACGAGATCTTATGGTAGCTCACAGAGAAAAAAATGTGACAATGAATATATATATATGTTCATGTATAATTGAAAAATTGTGCTCTACACTGGAATTTGACACAACATTGTAAAATGATTATAAATCAATAAAAATGTTTTAAAAAAGAATTAACTTATTGCGCTTCCAAATAAATTTTTTTAAAAAAAGGAAAAAGACTTCATGGAAGTTTCTAGTAACTTAAAGAGAGGTAGCTCTGTTGTTTTTTTTTTTAACTTTAGAAAAAACCCATGTGATCTCAATATCCATTTAGAAATTAGAATGTGGTAGCGATGAGGAGACCATGCTAATTGATGAAGACAGATTTTCTATGGAATATCTTGGTTTACAAAAGACTCAGATTATATCTTCCTTCCCTTTCCACATGCTCCCTCTCCCCTAAATATGTTATTTTAATTTATGTTTGGCCTAGGAGGGCATATTGTTGTAATTTCCATTTTATGGGTAAGGAAATTGGGACACAATGGTATAAGAAAAATGCAAATTCAAAACATCAGCTGGAGAACCAGAAGAAGCCATTATTGTTCCAGTGCCAGGTCTGCGCTTATTCAGAAGACTAGGATACATCCTGAGAAATAGGAGGATGACATCATTTTTCTCTTGTGCCGCCCCAATTTATATGTTGAAATCCTAACCTCTAGCAGTGATAGTATCAGGAGGTGGGGCCTCTGGGAGGTGATTAGGTCATGAGGGTAGAGCCCTCATGAATGGGATTAACGCCTTTATAAAAGAGATCCTACAGAGCTTCCAGTCCCTTCTGCCATGTGAGAATACCATGAGAAGTATGTGACCTGGGATAGGGTCCTCACCCAACCAGGCTGGCATCCTGATCTTGGATTTCCAGCCTCCAGAACTGTGAGCAATAAATTTCTCCTGTTTATAAACCACCTAGTCTGTGGTATTTTATTATAGCAGCCCAAACGGACTAAGACAGATGCATTTCTATGATCTGGGCCAGTTCCTTCTCAGGACCACCATGCTTGCAGCCTTAGTGCATTAGAACAGGGTGACAGTCATGGAGAAGCTTTGCTTTAATCTTTCTTTAAGAACAAACCCGTCTCTGTGAGCGCAGTTAGGTGACAGCTACCAGCTGCAGTGCCTTCCAGATCTGCTGCACTGTTTGAGCAGAGACAACGCTCCTCTTGGGAAACCCTGGCCAGTCACAGAGTCTGGCAGAAGTAATAGGACCTTACTATTTCTGCCCAATGCAGGACTCTTCCATGAGCAGTCTCTGCATTGGAGCTCCCTGCTGGACTGGCGGAGATTCTCAGAGCCCCAGTACAACACAGGCCTCATCCTATACAGCACCCCTCCCCTCTCCATCTTCAATCAGACGGGTCAGAATAGTCTGAAGGCTTTCCTTGCCTAATCCTGCTGGCTCCCCTTATAATTCATGGTTTTTACCACCCCCAAATCTCCTGCACTCTTAACTCTACCTTGGTGTCTACTTCCTGGAGAAACTGAACTGACACAAACAGCCTGTCTACAAAATCATTAGTTGGGAGAGGTCTGTTTATAGTAACTACTCTAACATCACTTTTATATAGCTGGAGGGGTAGGACTAAGCCCCCGTGATGCCCATCTGACCAAACATGTAGATAGTATCAATTTCCTTTGTTTACTCTTTCATCAGTCCCAGGTTAGGTATAATTGTGATCTAAGATAGTGAAGTAAAATATTTTTCAATTTTATGGCCCAGCAAAATAAATATGTAAAACACTGAGGAATGGATGTAGTATTTCTAGTTTTTAAAAATTTATCATGTAAATGAATTAAAAAGCATCTGTATGTACTGACATAGTTGTTTCATAAAAGATAATATTTTTAATAAAAAAGGGGAAGAACATAATATGGGAATCAAGGATAGCTGAAAAACTTACACTGACCTATAAGAAATAAATTATTATGCAAAAATAACAACAAAAACAAGCTAGGGCATTAGCTTCTTCTCTTCCAGGATTAACTGCCTTAGGAATTGTCCTCACAGTGTAAACAATTAGAAACCAGACACAGTACATAAAATAGCAGATCTCAGACACTGGGCAGCAGGTGGCACAGGATGGTGATACCTAAGATAAAAGGAATCAATGAGGTAAGTTCATGAAAAGCCTGCTTACTGCTTGGGGCAGATGGCAGTTCCCAGGCTTAAGAGCAGGGAGAACAAACTGACATAGAGCCTAGTGTATCATCAAACTGAGGAGAGCTGCAGAGGAGACTTGTTAAGTCTATGGCTGAGTGCCTACCTGCACATCCATGGGTGAAACTACCTAAGGCTTGGGAATTAGTATAAAGCTTAGGCCAACAATTCTCAAAGTTCATCAAGGGCTGAAAATAGTGTGCAATTCTACCAGCTAGAGAAGTCACCTCCTAAAAAATGCAGATGTGGATAGAGTTGTCATAAGTGTCATGCATTAGCTGTGGGGCAAAATTACTTCCAGAATGAAGCCTAGCCTAGGACCTGCCATAGAAAAGCATGAAAATAATACTTAAAGTGATCAAACTGATTCACAAGTAATGTAACTGCACACGGAACAAATCCAACACTCTATAAAGAAATAAAATAAAATTCAGCACCCAACACCATGAAATTGAAAATGCTCAGCATCCAAAGACATGGAAAGAAGTAGGGAAACATGATTTATAACCAGAAGAAAAGCCAAAATATATAAACAAATCCCAAGTAATAGAGATTACAGAATTAATAAGGACAGATCATAAATTAGTTATAAAAAATTTTTACAAATGTTTTCATTTGTTTCAAGGATATAAAGGAAAACAGGAAATTATAAGGAGAGCGATAAAGAATAATTTTTAAAGACCTAAATGCAACTTCGAGAGAAAAGAATTCACATTATCTAAAATAAAAAAGTATACTCAGTGGGATTAGTATCACAGTACACACAAAGATAAGTGAACCTGAAGACAAAGGAATAGCAACTATTCAAAATGAAGAGAAAAAAATTAGTGTCCTATCTTGTGACCTGTAGCACAATATTAAATGATATAACAATGTAACTGGATTTCTAGAAGGAAAATAAAGATAAGGGAGTAGAGGACAGAAAACAATTTGAAGAAATAATGGTGATTAAAAAAATGTGGTATCATATTGAGTGAAGTAAGTCAGACAGAGAAAGACAAACATCATATGATATCACTTATATGCGGAATCTTAAAAAAGTGATACAAATTCTACTTACAAACCAAAAAAACCCCTCAAAGACCTAGAAAACAAACTTCAGTTACCAAACGGGAAAGGGAGGCAAGGGATAAATTAGGGGATGGGGATTAATAGACACACATTACTGTATATAAAATAGATAAATAACAAGGACCTACTGTATAGCACAGGGAACCATATTCAATTTCTTGTAATAATCTATAATGGAAATGAATCTGAAAAGAAAAAATATATATGTATATCTATATATAACTGAATCACTTTGCTGTACACCTGAAACTAACATTGTAAATCAATAAACTTCAAGAAAAAAAATTTTTTTAATGTGGTTAAAAACTTTAAACTCAGATAGGAATATCAGTGAACTTCAAGCAGAAATACATAAAGAAAATCACATAAAGACACACTGTAATCAAATTTCTTTTAAAAAAAAAGGTAAATAAAAAATCTTAAAAATAGAGAAAAAAAGACTTATGTACCAAGGGGCAAAGAATGTTTACAGACTTCTCATCAAAAACAATGAAGGCTCAAAGACAATGGAATAGTATCTCTAAAGTGCTGAAAAACTGTCTATGAAGACTTCTGTACCCAGCTAAAGTCTTCAAAAACCTAGGAGAAATATTTTTTCAACCTAATGAAAGTGGAATGAACCATTTTCAGACCTTAACTTTAAGAAATGTTAGAAGACATTCTACAGGCAGAAGTAAAATGATACCAAATGGAAATGTGGATTTAGACAATAAAATAAAGAAGGCAAGAAGTGGAAATATGTGGGTCAATTTTTAAGAGGCATTTCTCCTCATTTTTAATCTTTTTAAAAGATAAAGTTTGAAGCAAAGTAATAACAAGGTATCATGGAGAATATGGCATTAAGTTTAAAATATATGATGGGAATAGGACCATGTCTGGGAAGTAAGAAGTGAAAGCATAATTTTGCAAAGCTGTTACACTATAAAATAGTATACTATTATTTTAATTTAGAATGTGATAATTTAAAGATATATATTGCAAAACTTACAACTGGAACTGGCAAATTATAGCCTGTGGGTCAAATCTGGCTTACTACCTATTTTTGTAGTTAAAGTTTTATTGGAGCACAGCCACATCCATTCCTTTACATGATGTCCATGGATGCTTTTCAACTACAGTGGCAAAGTTGAGTAGCTGCAACAGAAACTTAAAATATTTAATATCTGACCCTTTACAGAAAAAAGTTTGCACCTCCTGTTCTTGAGTAACCAATAGTAATAGTAATAATAATAACAAAGCAAAACAAAAATGTGTAGTTCACAAACCAGTAAGGGAGATAAAATAATTTTATAATAAATACTCAGGTAATGCAGAAGGTAGGAGAAGAGTACAAAAAATAAAAAAATACCAGATAGAATAAATGGAAAACTTATAGCTAGATAGCAAAATTATACCCAAGCTTATTGATAATTACATTAAGTTTAAATTTTTCCAAACATTCCAATTAAAAGTCAGAGTGTCAGATTGGATACAAAAGCAAAATATTATTACATTCTCTATAAGAATCCCACTTTAACTATAAAGACATAGGTTCAAAGTAAAAATTCACAAAAATATATAACACAAAATACTAATTGAAAGGAAGCTGGGATGAATATATTAATAGCAGACAAAGCAAACTTCAGAATAAACAATATTACCAAGAATAAAAAAGTATTACCAAGGATAAAGTAGCTTTCTCTTACTCCCAGATCTCCATCATGTGAGGAAACAGCAAGAAGGTGGCCATCTGCAAATCAGGAAGAGTCCTCACTAGACACTGAATTTGCTGGCAACCTTGATGTTGAACTCCCTAGCCTCCAGTTGTGTGAGAAATAAATGTGTACTGCTTAAGCCATCCAATCTGTGGTATTTTTTAATGGCAGCCCCAGCTGATTAAGGTATGAACTTAATCTAAGTTTATTTATATAGCACTCCTCCTAACAATAGCATACTACATAATCTTGTAAAGTATACATGAAACATTCACAGATAGGCAGTATTCTGGGCCATAAAACAGGTTTCAAATAATTGTTAAGGATTTAAATATTTACAGAGTATTTTCTCTGACAATGGTGACATCAAACAAGAAACTAATTTTGAAAAATACTTCTGGAAAATCTATACATAGAAATTAAGTGGCTCATATCTAAATAACTCATGGCTCAAAACGTAAACACAAGGGAAATTAGAAAATAATCTGATGTGAATGAAAAAGACTATACAACATATCAAGATGTGAGACTGATCTAAAGTAGTATACTTAAAGAAAAATGTATGGCATAAAATGATTACATGTTACAGAGAAAAAGTTATAAAATCAATGATCAAAATTTCCACCTGAGGAAACTAGAAAAAGGAGATAATCAATAGTTAACTTAAGTAGAAGGAAGTAAAAATAAAGACAGGTACAAAAACCAATGAAACATAAAAAAATGGAACTACCAAAGCAATAGAAAAAAATAATAAAGCCAAATGCTGGTAATTTGAAAAAAATTCATAATATTGATTAATCTTAATCTAATTGATTAAGGCTGATGAGGAAAAAAAGGAGATGCAAATTACCACCATCAGGAATAAAAAAGGACATACAACTATAGAGCCTAGCGATGTTAAGAGAAATATAAGGCAATATTATAAACAACTGTATACCAATAAATTCAACAGGATGGAATGACTGACATTTTTTGAAAAACAAAGTACCAAAGTTTACTCAGAATAGATGAGCTAAATAATCCTTCATCTATTTTTAAAAATTGAAATCAGAGTTAAAGTATCCCCTCAAAAGAAAACCCTAGGCCCAGATAACTTCACTGATAAATTGTATTAGGTGTTTAAGGAAGAAATAATACCAATCCTACATAAACTCTTCCAGGAAACAAAAGAGGAAGGGATGTTTCCCACCTTATTTTAGGAGGCTATCATTAACCTGTTACCACAGCAATAGAAAGATATTATTAGAAAAGAAAATTATACATCCTGATCTTTTGTAAACATAGATGCAAAAATCTTTAGCAAAACATTAATAATTTGAAGCCCGAAACATATAAAAAGGGTAATATATCTTAACCAATGAAAGTCATATACACTGGAAAAGAATAGGTAAAACTTTCTTGATTAGTATATGACAATGAATTTCTATGTATAAAATCCCAAGGAATCTTCCCCAAAAACCTACTAAAACTAATAAGTGAATTTAGCAATTTAGCGAGACTACAGAATAAAAGGTCAAGATACAAAAATCAATTGTATTTCTATGTGCTAACAATCTGCATAATATTTGAACTTGAAATTTAAAAACCAATGCCATTTACAATAGCATGAAAGATGTGAGATATGGATAAACATAGTAAGTGGTGTGTAAAACATGTACAAGGAAGATTACAAAATATTGCTGTAAAAAATGAAAGAAAACAAATGAATGGAGAGACAGTTGGCAAACTCCATATAGTGAAAATGTGAATTATTCACAAATTTTTCCATAGAGTGAATGAATTCCCAAGCAAAAATCCCAGCAAGTTTTTTTTGCAGACATTGAGAAGCAAAGAGGGCAAAAGTGGGAGGTGCTTTTGGCGTAATGGAAATATTGTACATATTGATTGCAATGGTGGTTACATGAGTGCTTACATTTGCCAATATTCTGAACTGTTAAAATTGATGAATTTTAGTATATGCAAATTATCCCTTTAGAGAGCTGATTTTTTTAAAGAACCATATTTAAAAATTCAAATTCAGAAAATTATAGCCTAAAATTGTTTTCTGTGATTTTTGTGTAGCATAGTTTTCTAGGCTCTGTTTATCAGTGTACCCTAAACTAGAGCTTGGTGCAGCATTTTGTTTTTTATTACAATCTTGTCCTAGCTCCTTTTTTTTTTCTAATCAAAAGTCAAATCACACATAAAAATTGGAAGCCAACTCAATACCATTCAGCTCAATTTAAAATAGGCTCTGTTCTAAGAAACAGAACTGTGGGGCCCACAAACTTTTTCCCTGTGGGTCTGGAAACCTTGTGACAGGGTTGTAGGTCAGGAATGCAGCCAGTGAGTGCTTCAGGGAGAGGGCAGAAGCTAGGCGACCATTCTGAGTATAAGGAAGTGTTAAGTACAAAGGATTTGGAAACCAGCCATCCTGGATTTGAATCCTGGTTCTGCTAATCCTTACCTGTGTGCCATTAGTAAAGTCATTTAACCTCTCTCAGCCTCAGCTGCACATCTCTAAAATGGAGATTATAGCTATAGCTATAGATACACACACATCTATCTCACAGCATTGATATGAAGATTAAATGAAATAATATATGTAGAATGTTTAGTGAAGTGCCTGGCACACAGTAATTGCTAAATAAATAGGAATGATTTCTATGTCCTCCCTTAGGTTTTCTGAATTCACTGACTGCAGCTTTAGAATCAAAGAAAACCCTGAAAAAAAAAAAAGTGTTGAGCTCCTGGAAGAGAAAAGCAGGAGCCCGGGGCCAGCAGCAAGGAGGAAACAAGAAGAGTAGGACAAACTTGAAATTGTCTGCCAGGAGGTGAAACTCAACAGTTTGGGGACATGGGTAGCAAGTATGGCTGGAACGCTCCAGCACAGAGTTCCTGACTCATGATATTCATTATTTTTCTTTGGTTTGTTTCTTCTGCTTGTTGATTTTCAATTTATTTTCTTACATTTAAAAGACATTCTAATAAGACAGTTTAAAAAAACCCTTAAAGTCAATGTAATCAAAATCCCTAATCAGCTGACTTTTTGTTAATGAAAAGGGAGATTATCCCAGGTGAGCTTGACTTAATCAGTTGGAAGGATTTAAAAGTGGGTTTAGAATATTACTAAGAAAAGGAAATCAGCCTTAAAAGGCTACATACCATTTTATATAGAAAGATCAGTGGTTGCTAGGGGCTTGGGAGAAGAGGATAAATAGGTGAAGCACAGAGGATTTTTAAGGCAGCGAACCTATTCTGTTTAACGTTGTAAGGGTGAATAAATGTCATTACATGTTTGTCAAAACCCACACAATGCACAACACAAAGAGTGAAGCCTAATGTAAACTATGGACCTTGGTTGATAATGATGTGTCATTGTTGGTTCACTGATTGTAATAGATGTACCACACTGTGTAGGATGTTGACTGTAGGGGAGGCAATATGTGTGTGGGGAAGGGGATATGTGGGAACTCTCTGTACTTTCTCCTCAGTTTTCCTGAGAGCTAAAACTGTTCTAAAACATAAAGTCTGTTAAATGAAAAAAAAATGAAACAAACCACCCACAATCTCACCACTTATTACAAATATTCTTTTGATGGCCAACAAGCACATGAAAAGATACACCATGTTGCTAATTATCAGAGAAATGCATATCAAAACTACAATGAGGTACCACCTCACACCAGTCAGAATGGCCATCATCAACAAGTCTACAAATAACACATGTTGGAGAGGATATGGAGAAAAGGGAATCCTTCTACGCTGTTGGTGGGAATGTAAATTGGTGGGGCTACTGTAGAGAACAGTATGGAGAATCCTTAAAAAACTAAAACTAGAACCACCATATGATCAAACAATCCCATTCCTGGGTATATCTGAGAAAGATGAAAATTCTAATTTGAAAAGATACACGCACCCCAATGTTCATAGCAGCACTATTTCCAATAGCCAAGACATGGAAGCAATCTAAATGTCCATCAGCCAATGACTGGACAAAGAAGATGTAATACACACACACACACACACACACACACACAATGGAATATTAATCAGCTATAAAAAGAATGAAGTAATGCCATTTGCAGCAACATGGATGACTTAGAGATGATCATACTAAGTGAAGTAAGTCAGACAGAGAAAGACAAATATCATGTGGTATCACTTGTATGTGGAATCAAAAAATTGATACAGATGAACTTATTTACAAAACAGAAATAGACTCACAGACATAGAAAACACAACTTATGGTTATGGTTACTTACGGTTACCAAAGGGGAAAGAGGAGGAGAGAAAAATTGGGAATTGGGGATTAACAGATTAACACTACTATATATAAAATAGATAAACAACAAGGTCCTACTGTATAACACAGAGAACTATGTTCAATATCTCATAATAGCCTATAATAGAAAATAATCTGAAAAGGAATATATATATGTGTGTGTGTGTGTATATATATATAACTGAATCACTTTGTTATACACCTGAAACATTGTAAATCAACTATACTTCAATTTTAAAAAATCAAATTCATAATCTTTAAAAAAGGAAACAAATATTATTTTAATAAGTGGTCCTTATGCACACGCATGCACATTTCCATACTGTTGTGGTTACTGAGGGAAAATCACTTGAGCTTCTGCATTTTAATTTAACACAGGATAGCAAATCAGTTTCCTGGCCAAAGCAAATGGTTTTAATTGCCTAAGCATTTCTGTACCAAACTATTTATTTGTAAGATGTATTAGATACCAAAACTTAATGGAGAATCAAAGGGTAGGAAGCTAACATTTATGGAGCACTTACAAGGTACAGGCTGGGTGCCAGGTGCTTTACACATTTCATTTTACTTAATTCTCCTAACAACCTTATGAGGTAGGTGTTATTATCTCCATTTTATAGAGAAGCAAACTGTAATTTTAAAATAACTCAATTATCAGATTAACCAAAGATCATTCTTAGACAGGCTTAGATGTTATTGGTGATTCACCCAACCCAGATGTTTTTCTGATATAAAGAATAAGTCAGAATAATGTTTACCAAAATGTGTTTT